GCCTCGGACCCAATCAAATATCAAAACAGCCTCAGGCCCACCATATCATATTATAAATAATTCACATTTCATATCCATATTCCATATCATAGGTCTTGTAACTCATTCATTCACATAAAACATAATTCCAGAACATTATAACATTTACACATTAAAATAAATATAAATGAACATATATTTACAATATTATTACTCACATTGATGGGCTTCTGGTAACAGTTGGGCGATGTCCTTGTCTTGACCTACAAATTACATAGCAAAACATATTGAACATAGAGTTACTCTCTTGGTCAAAGTTACTTTTCTTAATCTTTGATTAATCAAATAAACTGAACCCTTACTTTTCCTTAACCAATTATTTATGGTGGTTCTAAACTCATTAGTCCTCAATGGGTCATAATTCATATCAAGGAAAATGGGAAGAAACGGAACGAAATTGGGTTAGGAGAAGAAATGGCATGAAACGAGTAGACAGAAAGTGAACAACCTTCACTAATTCGAACATATCTCTTTGTGTACTCAGAATTTGGGTGTGAGACTACCACCATTGGAAACTAGACTTCTGGGGCTTGAATTTAGGCTCAAGAATCACTTAAAACGGAGTCCAGATGAGCGAGATATTCTCATTTGAAAGTGGGTTGGAACAGAGGTGCCCCGCACATGCGGGAATCAGGGCTGCACGTGCAGGAATTGAGCCACATGTGCGGCACAAAGTGCTTTTATTTCAGAATCAATTTAGGTGCTGGAAGTGGACTGCCGCACTTGTGGCTCTGGGTAAAAAAATGCTGTCCGAAAATCCCTATTTGCTCTAACACTTGTTTTTCCACTTTCTAAGCTAAGTTTCAACTCTAATCACTCAAAAACATGTGAAATTACCCCACAACATGATAAACTAGCATCACTCATGTGTAATTTCATCTTAAACAAATCAATATTTGCCTCAAGTTCGAGATCAATGTTTCATCTTTTATAATCTTGAAAGTTCCCAAACAACTCACTAACACACTCGATCCTTGCATAAATCTTGGTCTATGGACAATCTAGAGTTCATTTCATATGTTATCCACAAGATCGAGCTCCAATCATAGACAAAATCAAAGGATCCAAGTTCTAATTTCTTAAATTTAGCTCAATTAAATACATAACACAAAACCCTAACCCAAATGTGTTTCAAATCTTCCAATCTCATTATGATTTCATGAAATTAATGAATTAATCATAAGGATTCAAGATAGATTTCCATACCTTAGTTCAATCTTTGCTTTTCCCTTAACTCTCTTCAATTTTCCTAAGCTTTGATGGTTGATCTTTTTCCTTTCTCTTCAATCTCTTCAATTTGTTTTCAAATCCCATGAATGTTGAGCTCTCTCTCACTTAAAGAAGCTTTCTCTCCCTTGCTCTCTCTCTCTCTCTCTCCCTCTCTCGTGGTTCTCTCCACCCCCCCCCCTTAGATATTCTTGGCCTCAAAAGTGATGAGTTCAACTCATATATCATATATATATACACATAAGCTTATCTTAATTAGAGAGAGCCAAACGCACCCTTACGAATCAAATGAATCAAATTTCAATTAAACTTTCCAGATGACTCTAAAAATCATGTTGATCATAACTATGTACTCTGTTCTGGTTTCTGAAGCCTCTAATGCCTTCAATTCACAGTGCAAAGTTAACTACCCAAACATACCTTAACAAATCAAATGAAATAAATTTTCAATGAACTTTCCTAAATAGCTCTAAAATTTCCCATTAGCATACCTATGTACTCAATTTCGGTTTTTGAACTCTTAAAAGTCGGCAATTTCAATTTCAAGGTCGTAACTCAACAAATAATTTCTCAATTCAAATAGATATAATTTAATTAAAGCACACTAACCCATAATTAAATAAAGCTAATTTCTGATACGCATTTTGGGGTCATTACAATATCACTATGCACAAGTTCAAGCAGAGCTGTGGTTTTATCTACTTTAAGAAATGAAATGCCAGTGATTTTAGGTTGCACAAAAAATTTTCTTTTTTTCAAACATATCAATGTCGTATTTAGGAATTAAATCTAAATTAACCATATCATGCATTTTCCTAGTATTAACATGACCTAAACAAGTATGCCATAAAGAAAAAGAATCAACAATATAAGCAAAACCAGTTGTATTATTGATAACGTTAAGTTTGAACATTCCCTTATACATGTAGCCCTTCCCAACAAAAATCCCACCCTTAGAGGAAACAAGTTTATTCGACTCAAATACTAACTTGAAACCATGCTTACTAAGACTTAAGACTTAAAACTTTTCTAGATGTAAACTCCAGATCCACCGTCCATTTTCCTTTGATAGCAACAGTTGAAGAGTTGCCCGTGTAGAGAATTGTTCCATCACTCACTTGTTCATAAGTAGTGAAAAGGCTCTTGCCGTTGCAGATGTGCCTCGTTGCTCCTAAGTCAATCTACTAGTCACCAGCATCTTCGAGCAGGTTCACCTCGGATACAACAGCTATGAACTTGTTCTTGGAATTTGATGTTTCTAGCTTCTTCTTGTATGACCGACATTCATTTCTGAAGTGCCCTAGCTTGCCACAGTGCCAACAAGTGCGTTTCAACTTCTTAGTATCTTTCTCAGGTTGGAGGTCACGTTTTTCTTGAACCTCTTTCCATCATCCACCATGTGGATCTTGGACGTCTAAGCCAATTTGTTATCTTTACTTTCAAGAAGCCTTGACTCTTCCTCAACTTGAAGGTGTTGAGCTAATTCCTTTAAAGTTAGATCTTTCTTTTTGTGTTTCAGAGTTTTCTTAAAATCCTTTCAAGATTATGGTAGTTTCTCTATTGATGAAACTACAATAGATTCATCCATGTTCATATTGTTTTGTCGAAACTGACTCAAAATATGTTGGATCTCATGGAATTGTTCCATAATAGGTTTTGTATCAATCATAGTAAAACGTATAAAATTACTAACAAGAAATTTCTTATTGGTGGCATCCTCGGTGAGGTACTTTGACTGTAATATGTCCTAGAGTTGCTTTGCCGTTTCCAAATGTTGACATACATCGATCAGAGAGTCTGATAATGCATTCAAAATGTGTCCTTGGCAAATGTAGTCGTCATTCTCCCGTTTGGTTTTGGTATGAGTTTGTTCCATTGTCTTGTCTTCTTGCTCCGCCGGATAAGGAATAGTCAGCACATAGACCACTTTGAAAGTGGTGAGCAAAAAGTGCATCTTCTTTTGCCAGCGTTGGAAATTTCCTCTATCAAATCGGTCAAGCTTCATGAAATCTTGAGTCATTTTCTAAATAGGCATCATCATATCAAAGTATTGTCTTTAGATTATTGGAACAATTCATCTTGAATTCTTCAGTTGGTGATCTTTAGGTCTTCAAACCTTGGCGACGATCTTGTTTATGTAGAACAGAAATTTGGTGCTTCAAGTTACGTTACTTAAGTCGCTTTCCTAAAGATAATATTTGCACCCACCAAAAAGTGTGCAGGGGGTTACAGCAAATTCGCCTCCAGGATACAATGAAGCCTGATCTAAGGATCAAGTCTATTGGTGTCTGCACTGATGACAGTAGATTAGAATACTCTTGATATAATCAAGAAAGCTAAAACACTGATAATCAAGTATACAAAATTTGATTACAAGTAAGGAAAGCAGAAAGTTGCTTAAGAAACTCTTGATCGAAAACTCTAAATCAAGAGGGAGGAAGGGAGAGAGAGAGAGAGAGAATTGTAGGAATGCTTTCTGGATTTTTTGGATGGATTGAAATGGTTGATTTTGTAGCCTATTTATAGACCTTGATGCATTTGATTAAATGGTCATGTCTCTTGATCTCATCCAATCAAATCTGATCGTTGGATCGATGATTTGTGGTGTAAACCATTCTCACACCGAATAAATGCCTTGACTGATCATACCTAATCATGATTGAGTGCCATCTTATCCATACAATCACTCGCATCCCCAATCAACGACTATGATCAAATTGCTCCAAATCGGACACACAACTGTTCAATCAGTCGGTTGACTCATTGCCATCAAATGCCACACAGCCCACTGCCCACTCCACGCGCGCACATGCGTGTGTGGATGGTTTGCGGTGTGAGTGCATTTACACTAGCGTCCATCCTACAATTCCATATTCAAAGGAATATTCCATGTAGCACTTTATTAAGTGCTCTAAGTTTTCCTCTCTTTTCGATGTGGGATAAAGTCCCCAAGTTTGTTTCAAGCTTTCCAAACAAAAACAAGAAAGGTTTTGAAAACACCCAAAAACTAAAAAATAAATTTTGAAAACCCATTTTGAAAATTCCTCAACAAAACCAAACACTTGAATTTGGTTCTCCGAAGTGCAAGTACATTGTTTTCTCCAATCCGTAGATTTATGTTTTGCATTTCCTAATATTTGCAGTCAATTTCACTGCAATCATTGTGTCTCATCATCACAAGGACAACCCTGAACGTACTGTGGGCGAATCCTCGCACTTTCAATCCAAGCTGAACACCAAACATTGAACTTGCGATATACGAAGGAATACATGATCTGATTAAAGAAGCCAATGAAAGACTCGCTGAGTCCAAAGATCATACCCGGCTTCAGATTGAAAAGGCCTTAGATTATCTTAATACAAGCCTAGAATTTAATGGAACAAAAGAAAGTAATGGAAGGCCACGGATTCGGCCTGAGCTTCGGATGCTAGTGAAATTGTTCATGAAATGGAATTGGGAGTTGTCTTCGAAACCCAGAATTTATTTTGATCTGCTGTTAAATACTTCTGAAAATAGTGTCTAGCAAGTCCCTAACCTACACAGCCATCCAACATTTGCGCAGAGCTCAGCGTTCCAAGATCTTTGGGTACTCTATGATGGGCTTAACATCGAGGTGAAGCTTTACTTGCTGTGTTTTTCAGTATTCCCTAAAAATGTAATAATAAAGAGGAGAGTTATGGTCGACTAGTGGATCAGAGAGGGTTTTGCACCTCCGATCCTAATGGACCACAAGATGGCTGAGGAAATAGCTAATGGAAAGATTGCAGAGGACTACGCCAAAAATTACTTCGACCAGCTAATGGCAAAGGGCTTCATTGAGCCTACGTATGAGATGCGCCACGAGTTGGCAGTGGGTAGATGCAAGATGCACGCTTTTATTTGTTCTGCAGTGATCATGTTTGCCGAGAGGGCTAACTTCTTCAATTTTGATCGCATGGGGAACCCCACTGAACACTACTTTGATTCTTACCGGGCTTGCTTGCGTAGTAAAGGGTTCAATCTCTGTATTGTAGATTTGAAGAAACTTCATATGTTGTTCAATTTGGACGGGCGTATCATGTGTTTCGAACCAGAATGGTTTTATAAGATGAAAAATATCAAAGTTCTTTATCTTGGAAGGTGGCAGGCCTCGTCCTCTTATCACATTGAAGTTGAAGATACTAAATTTTTAGACTAGTTGGAGAATATGAATTACTTGAGATTTCTTAGCCTGCAAGGGATCTCTAGAATTACTAAGCTTCCACATGCCCTTCCAAAGCTTGTGAATTTGGTGATCCTGGATATCAAAGCCTGTCACAATCTCGTGGAACATCCAGAAAGGATTTCCTCACTGAAGAACTTGACGCACTTGGACATGTCTAAGTGTCACCTTTTGGAGCACATGCCCAAAGGGCTTGCATTGCTTTCAGAGCTTCAAGTTCTCAAGGTTTTCATGATTGGAATATCAAATAGGTGAAACTCTTGTACTCTCGAAGACTTTGCTGCAGGATTGTATAAGATAAAGAAATTATACATCACAGCATCGAAAGAGGATTTTCCTATAGACACATAGCTGAATGCTTTACAACAGTTTATAACACTTTGTACACTAGCAATTAATTGGGAACTAGAAAGTGGTACAACAAAATCAACCGAAGTAGTTTCCAAGAACCCGAATAGTGGTACAACAAATTCAATAGCAATAGCCACAGGAAACACCAGGAACTTGGATCGTAATACAGCAAAATCAAGGGCAGTAGCCACTAGGATGGAGAGTGGTACAGAAAAATCAATGGCAGTAGTCACCAGGAATTCGAACAGTGTTGTAGTAGCAATGGGAAAAGCTATCAACAAGATACAAAGTTATACCACTTTAGGCAACACAACATGCAAATTCCTTTGTTTCCAAAACTTCCGATTCAACTAGAGATATTAGACCTTTGGTGTTTTCTTGAGAAGGCATTGCCAAAATGGTTGATGCCTAGCAATCTAAAGAGCCTTAAGAAACTCTACATCAGATGAGGGAAGCTGTAAGATTTGGAGGCAGGAAAATAGACAGTGGGCAAGAGATAACGTGGTTGGTAACTTCATTTGATGTGAAGTGGGCAGTTAAGGCATTATGCCTAAAGTACTTGAGAGAATTAAAGATGGATTGGAGCGAACTCCGGGACTTATTTCCTGACCTAAGTTACTTGGAGAAGGTCAAATGCCCGAAGCTCTTCTTCTTCCCATGCAACAACGGGGGTGTGTGGAGGAACAGAGCAATGGAAATGAAGTAGCAGTTTTATGTATGATATAGCATTATTATCCTCTTCTTTGTAATATTATGAGTATCTCAATATTGTGCTATTAGCGGTTTCCAAGTCTCATATAATGTTCTTGTTTAGCATGAAATCCTATATGAGTACCTTAAAGAAGAAGAAGAAGAAATATATTGTGAGCACTGAGCACTAACAAGTCAGCAATTCAATCAGTTTGCGAAATTGTGAAAGAGTTTTGAAAAATCTAAAAATCTTGGAGATATTGATTTGTGAATATGTATCAATTCTAAGCAGTAAATAACAATTCTAATCAAACAATCAAGAAAAATCAACATAATGATTTAAATGTGGAAAAACCACAATTGGAGCGCCTCTAATTATGATAAAAAAACAATAGGCAAAAGCCACAAAAAAATCCACTAAGAAGACAAAACGAATTACACAAGTGTACTTTCAATTACCTAGCGAATCCATGCCAAAATTGAACCGGCCCCTAGATGCCTCTTCCACCACGGTCTTCACCTTGGAATTGTCTTGCCCAACGTTGAATCCACAATGCCGATGTCGAATCCACGATGATGATCCACTCCGGAATCTACCAAAGCTTCATGCCCAAATTCCATGGAATCCGCCAAAGAACAACTCTATCTTTTTTTAATAAAACAAACTAAACAAACCCTTTGATATAATCCACTCAATTCATGATTAAACTCTCACAGATATTAAAGAAAACAAGTAAAGAAGCTCCAGATGAAAACCCTAATATCCAAGAAGAAGATCTGGAAGTCGTAACCCTAAAATCTGATAGAACCACATATTTATAGAAAACAGGGCTGCGATCTCCGCTCGAGCGCAGGAATGGATGCTCGAGCGGATTGACTAAAATGCGTGTTTCAAAACACGAATCTACGCTTGAGCACATGAATGGCCACTCGAGCGGAAAAAAACAACTCCCAATAATTTTGTAGGCGAGTGAAACTTCTGAAAGGTCGCGATCTTCGCTTGAGCGCAAGAATGGCCGCTCGAGTGGAAAAACAACTTTGATTGCAAAGTGACAAACATAATGGGATTAAGATCACAAATTCCTCTGCATAGGCACAATTCGGGATGGATTCGCATCTAAATATTCATAGCCTCACTTAAATAAAAGATCAAATAAAATTACAATTGAAAGGAGTTTTGTCAAACGGGATTGCCGAGAATAAAAACCTAACAATCGATTATCTAATATGTAGGATTGAATTTATGGTGCAACCATGATGCTGAGCTTAGACCATTGTATGATCTAACAGTGTTCAACTTTCAATTTATCTTCAAATGCTAATAACATAAACTTGGATTTGGAGCTCAATTTCCATTGTTAGATTATTGGTTGAAAAATTTTCAGACAAAAAATGGGAGAATGTTGACGACTCTGGTAACTAAAGATAGATTTCTCTAGAGTAATCAACATTCTCCCAAAGATGGATTGTTGACAACAAAAAAGGGGAGAATTGTCAGATTTGTATTTTTTTGTCTTCCCCTTTTTTCTAGAAATTATAGAAATGGAGGCACAATTAAGTGAGACAAGTGACTAATTTGGTAAAGAGTAATTTTTTTTTTTCCTTTTTTTTTTTTGTTCAATTGTACAATTCTGGAGGAGGTGTATACAATAACATACACATTTTTTGGTTCTACATAAACTGCACTAGAGAATAAATAAGGAACACGGCCTCTTTGTCGGGAATAGCTTTCAACTAGTCCAATTTGGGGGATATATTATTTAATCTGTAACTTATCTTTCAGTTCAAAAGCCAACTTCTATTGAAAGATTTAAACACCTTCTTGCATTTGAGATAGATCAGGCCAATTTATATAATATGAACAAACTATTCTTTATAAAAAAAAAAAAAAAAAAAAAAAAAAAAAAAAAAAAAAAAAAAGAAAAAAAGAAGAAGAGAAAACATGATTGGTAACTTCATTTGATGTGAGATTTAGGTTTTCTGTGCTGCATATTGTGGCCATCAAAACCTGAATCATGTTGCACTCTGTAAATTAAATAGTAAATTTTGATTTTGTAGGTTTAATGTGGGATAAACCTCTCTCCCTAACATAGATCAGAGTTAATTAACTCAGGACTGGTTCTCTCTGATTTGGACTGGAAGGTGTTGTTCAGGCCAGTGGAGATTTCTCTTTGGAATTCAGAAGCATCCGCAAAATAGAAGGGTAGTAATGGTAGGTTAGTCTGAATCATGTGGCGAGTGAACTTAGGTCATGAGAGTAGGGATGGCAATGGATAACCTACCCTGTGGGTATCCATGGAGACCCAACCCAAAAACATGGATTTTCTCCTTTTTTTTCTTATCCATTGGGTAGAGTAAGTGATATTCTTTAAATATCCACAGGGGATGGGTTGGGGATGGGAACCCACTAATTTCCCTATATGTTTTTTTTTTTTTTTTAAGAATTCACAACCAAAACTAAATATACATTCAATTTTTTTATTTATTTATTTATTTATTTTTTCAGGTTCACAACCAACTTTTTTTTTTTAGATCCATAACCAAAGCTAAATATACATCCAATCTTTTTTTTTTATTATTATTTTTTTATTTTTAAGGTTCACAACCATTTTTTTTTTTAATTTTTAAGATTCACAACCAAAGCTAAATATACATTCAATCTTTTTTCTTTTTAGAGGTTTTGCCTATTTGACTATTTTAGTAAACTATTTTAGTTTTTGCATTTAAGAAGATGGGTTGGATTTTTTGTTAGATTGATGTATTGAAAAATGTGTTTCAAATAATATAGAGATAATAAATGACCAAAATGTCCCTATGTGTATTATCGTTGTTGTTGTGAGTTTCTCAAAAATTAAAAAGGCAAAAGCGTCATTTTACCCATTGTCCGTTATAGCTGTGTATCATGTGGGAAGTCAGCAACAATACTTTTTGAATTTTTTTCTTGAAGAGGCTAAAGTGATCTATAAATTTCATTTCCAAACACTGCCATAATTAAATGCATAAATCACTTTTATCTTCATCATTTTGTAATTATTTTTTACTTTTGATTTTTTTGATATTCTACACAAAAAAAAAAGAAAGAAAAAAGTGAGGTCTTAAAATTGTTTCAGTCAATTTTTTTTTCTTTTATCAATAATTTAGTTTTTAAATAAAAAATAAAAAATTAGAAAGAGAGAACATGAGTGGAACGAGGCGGGCAGAGGTGGAAGAATAGGAGAGAGAGAAAGAGAGACTACATTATAGTAGGCGTCATGCGTATTTTGACCTTTTTTGATATTTGAATTTTTAAAAAAATAAACACATTAATAAATTATTTAGCTTTTGTTGTCAACCTTAAAACAAAATAAAAAAAAAAGTTGTTAACATTAAATATATTAAAAAAGAAATCATATCCACCACATTTTTAACTTTTCTTCTCATTTTTTTCCCTTTAAAAAATCGTAATATATCTTTTAAAAATGTTTAGGATTGAAGTTATTCTATGAATTATCTATTGTTATTTTATTAAATTAAATATTATATATATGAGATCAATTATACCTTTTAAAATATTTAAGCTTTAGTTGTTAGAATTAAATATATAAAAAAAGAAAAAAAAAAGATTGAGGGTATATTTAGCTTTTGTTGTGAACCTTAAAAAAAAAACAAAAAAAATAATAAAATAAAATAAAATAAAAATGGGGATTAAAGTGGGTTGGAGAAAATCCAAACCCATTAAGAAATGAGGAGAGTGGTACCCATGGGGAATGGGGAATGGAGAAAATTTATTATAGGGGAATAGGGATGGAAAATTAATATCCACCCCATTAACCCCATTACCATCCCTACATGAGAGAAAGTATTTTTAAAAATCACCCTCACATGTGCACAGAACAAAAGATCAATTTAATATATATATATATATATATATGGATACAGAGCATTGACATTTGTAAGTCCAATGTGTGTTCAAATATGTTTTCACATTGAGGGCCCGTTTAGGAATTGATCATATTAGTTGATTTTTTTTTTTATTTTTTACAAAAAAATTTGCAAAAAAATAGAGAGATTATAAAATAACTTGACTTTTTGATTAAAAACCAAACAACAATGACAGAGACCCCTTTAAACCCCACAAATCATGAGTTGTGTGGTTCACTTTGGGGGTTGTGGGATCCCAAAAAAGGAAGTCTCACTCATTTTCCAAAACCAAACTCCTCAAACGGGGTCTGAATATCCAAAGCCAAACTTCTCCGGGGTGTTTTTCAGTTCTTTCATATTGTACACACAAACACAGTCATCTTTTATATTTGGGGATTTGTTTTTCGGAACTAAGAAAGGAGTGAAAGGGAAAAAAGAAAGGAAGAGAGTGGAACTAACCCAGTCCAATGTCAAGAAGGCTTGGATACACGGAATATCCAGTGCTTCATTCTCCTAAGCCTATTCCTGCAATCCTTATTAGTTTTTTTTTAGCACGCTTCAGGAAAAGAACATCAAGCAAAATGGTGATCATACTCAACTGGTCTGCATACTCAGCAGCAGACTGGAGTGCTAACTTTGTTGTTGGTCTCATCACCAACAGCGTCATCCGAACTTCCAGTTCCATCCCTGATGAAAAAGGTGACCTTCTTGCCTTTTGGGCTCCATTTCTACTGTTACATCTAGGAGGCCCAGACACCATAACTGCTTGTTCCCTCGAGGATAACGAATTGTTGGATTAGGTACTCGCTGGGGTTCACGTTCCGGGTTCTTACCTCTGTCTATATCTTATACCTATCACTTGTTGGAAACAAGCTCTGGTTTCCAACCATACTTATGTTACTTGCGGGAACTGTCAAGTGTGTGGAGCGTGTACGTGTTCTGTATCTTGCAAGCTTGGACAAAGTCCGGGACTCAATGCTTAAGCAATCTGAACTGGGTCCTAATCCTTGATACTCTAAGCTCAAGAATTTATATTCTTGGAAGGCATTGGCGAGTCTCCCAGTTCGGATGGAATAATTCCAGAACCGCAAATAGTATCTAAATCCAACACAAGCG